CGGAGGCTTCGCCTCAGTAGCGTTACAGATGCACACGGGAGCCTCAAAAGCCCAGACAGCCCTTGCCCGGCTTCATCCATTAAGAAAAGGCAGGTTCCCTACAGCTTAGCCTTTTGGCCTTGGCAATTTTTATCAACTTTCCTCATTCAACATTTATTGCTATGACAAACCCTATCTCTACAGCCGGGCTGAGGAATACCGACCATTAATCTCTTTATATGTTTGGCACCGAGGATCATCTCTTCTTCCCCATCTTTGCAGGATAAAGACATTACTAGGAAAGAAAAGCGGCTTCAAGCCGGCAGTACAGTAAAGCAGGCGCTGTAAAAAAAGCGGGGAAGAGTTGTTCCCCAAAAGCAGCTGTAAAATTTCTCATCTCTACAGGAATCCTGTACAGACAGTTTTCATGCTGCAGTATCAAGGCTGCAGGGGTAAATCATGGAAATACCTTATCTTGATAAGTTTCCCCCCCACTGCTTTTTTTCTTCTCCATTGTTATTTTCACAGGGAGAAGATAATTTCACTTACTGTCCTGCAACAGGCCTAGCTAAAGGAAACGAGGACTCGGCATTTGCTGGCTGGGCATTTCCATTTCCAGGGGTGTTTCTGACGGAGGAGTTCATTAGTGAAGATGAAGAATCTGAGATAGTTGAACTGATGGATCAAGATGACTGGAAACCGTCACAGTCTGGCCGAAAGAAACAGGTTTGACTTTAGAAGCACATTTGTTCTTAGATCCCTCTGGAAAAGGAAAGCTCTTTTCAGTTAAAACCCAGCACAGTTAGGTGTTTCATTACATGTTTTCCTTTGAAAGCTTTTCCTGAAATCAATTGCAAGAATTACTTGTAATTAAAGTCAACCTCTTGCAAAAATATATGGTAGTTGTAACAAATCATACTTGATGGTGCATGTTCAGGCATTGAAGTTCACACAATCTCCAAGGGAAAGAACTGGGTGATTTGGGTTTTGGCTTTACTTTACAGATAAGAAATCTAATTCCAGTGAGATTAATGTAGCTTCGCTGAGCGCTTTTGCAACCTGGTGACCAGGTCACTGGAAGAGATGAGAAGAATTCAAAAGTCTTGACCAGGAGCCCTGTAGGGATCACAGTTTCTCCAAAAAGACTTTTCCTTAATAGATCCCTTCCCGATTTTTCCTTAACACTAGCTTTTCCCCTCTTTTTTCCCAACAGGACTATGGACCCAAAGTGAACTTCAAGAAACAAAGGATGAAAGCTGGCAACTTTACCGGTTTGCCAAGTTTTAGTAAAAAGATTGTGGCACAAATGGAGGCCTGTTCTGTACTGGGTGGTTTCTTACCTGTTGAACAATGTAATCTGGACTACATGCCAGAAAGAGGTTCTGCCATTGACCCGCATTTTGATGACTGGTGGCTTTGGGGAGAGCGCCTGGTTAGCTTAAACTTGCTCTCAAAAACCGTGCTATCCATGTCTTGTGATTCAGAGGACAGGATCCAATTATTTCGCACTTTCAGTAGAGAAAACGGGGAATTAAGTCTCCCTGGATCTTCCACACAGACAACAACGTGCAAAAATTCAGGTGAAGAGGGAATCAACTGCATTTTATCCCCGAGGCTTGTTCCAAGTAAAGAGGTGACTGTTGCCATTCACTTACCTCAAAGGTCTCTGGTGGTGCTGTACGGTGACGCACGGTACAAGTGGAAACACGCAATTTACCGCAAGCATATAGAGCATCGCCGAATCTGTGTCACGTTCAGGGAGCTGTCTGCAGAGTTCAGCGCCGGAGGAAGGCATGAGGAACTGGGTAAAGAACTGCTAGAAATAGCTCTTTCATTTCAAGGAAGACCAGTGTGATCAGCAAGAGGAAGCCAGAATTGCAATTTGTTAAGACATTTGAAAAATAAAGTGCGGAATTTGTACAACTCGGTTTATTTCTGAAGTGTGCGCAAGGAACCAGGTGTGTACAAAGATAAGCTCAATCAAATGGGAATTTAACAAACAAAAATAAGAGAGTGCAAGGAAGGGGTGGGCTGCTTGTTTCTTCAAAGACTCTCCTGGGCAATGGGAACTTTTAGGCGAAAGTCAGCAACGAGCTGTTGCATTCATTAGCTGCAGTGTAACAAAACGCAAAAAAAGCAAATAGCCAGTTCTTAAATACTTAACCCAAGAAAGAAACTTAGAATCATTAAACTGAGCTGACTACCAAACAGCCCTTGGCACAGATTCAGCCCAAACCCTGCAGCAGATTTTCACCTTTGCTAGCCTGTACTTGGTTGTGTCATAGTGCTTTTAGCGCTGCACCGTGCCGTAGGGACACCACCATCTCCTCACCCGCTGCAGATAGCTCCTTTAGAGATCAGCTCTCCAGGGGAGGAGGGTAAGCAAGCGTCTCTCCACAGATAGTACAACACACTGAGAACTAATTAAAGTAATTATCCTTTGCTGCAGATTCATGCTCTAACAGCGAGGATTCATCATAAATACTGTGTGTGACCTATATCTTCTGGGACCAGAGAGCAGCATTGCAGAGGGCCGATGCCGACTCTTTGCAGAGGCAGCTTGGACAGAGCGCAGACCAAAGACTTGCACAGACTGTGTTATTTTCTGATCATTTGTCATCTCTGAACCCCGCTGTCAACTCTCAGTAGCGAGAGTCTGATTTTGGGAATAAGCTGGGCAACAGACTGCAACCCTGGCGGCTATCATTTTTTTTCTTGGCACCTCCAGCAGTCAGGTTTGAATCATGCCTTGTACCTAAGATTCAAGTAGTCATTTGTAGCAGAAGCTGATTTGAAGCCATCTGTCTGCTCTGGACAGACTTCTGTGCTCTTGAAAATGAAGTTGTGCTGTGGAAGAAGCATGATCCTTTAATAAACACAGTTGTGTCATCAAAACCGTTCAGCACAGTCCCACCTAGAGCAGTAAAACCCTTTACAATGTTGCCTGGTTTGAGTTGGTAAGGAAAGGGGACACATTTATACATAGGATCGCAGCATCGCGGCATAGCTGTATTCTTGCCCTAGAGGCACTTGCCTGGCACAATGCACAGGTTTTACTGTATGGTGGTGTGCTCCTGCCATAGACACTGCCCGCCGCGTCAGGCACTGCAGGGATGGGAGCTCTTCCCCCAACAAAACAGCTACTAGAAATCAGTTAACTGAATCAGGTTATTTTTTTATCAGTTTAAGCTAACAGATAGAACTACAGTCCTTTGCGGCTGCAATGAATCAGTTTCAGTTTAGCCCAGTTTTAAACAGTTGTGGACATCTACAGTATAAATTCCAACAGGGACCCACGAGCAGGGCTCCAATGTGCAGTCCTAAACCCCAGACCTCCATCCTGACATAGGTGAGTGTCACCCACGTGCCGCGGCAGCGGTTTCGGCAGTCACAGCATGCCCTCTCGCACGGCAACCCATCACTGCGAATGCAGCCAGCCAACACGCAACAGGCAGGCCACGCTTGCTAACAGCGAGCTTCATCCCAGGAAATTTCTCATAGGTTGCAACTTCTCCAGCTCACCCCCAAAAGCAGGGTCTTGTGCTCTCAAAAGAGCAGTTCCCGGCAGCCTGGTGTGATCAGCACCGTGCCACGGGTGCCCACGGGGGCTCAGCAGCCACAGAGAGCGTGATGTCCCCAGGCCAGCTCCTGGAGCTGCTGTCGGAGCAGAGGACATTTGGCCAAGCAGGAGGACACGGCCGGCAGCCCGGTGGAGCTAGGCACAAAGCCACGCTACGGGAGGAAACCCAGGGCAGGCTTTCATGGGTAAAGCAAGGTTGAGCCCACATCCTCATCACCCTTTCAGCACGGAGCCTCTCCAGCCATCTCCTCTTTACTCAGCAAACTGCGGCAGCCAAGTATTTCCATTAATGTTTGGCCCTTACTTCCAATGTTCCCTTTTAGATTTATATTGTGCTCTCAGTCTGTTAAAATACTTTCTGTGCGCACACCTGCTGTTTCATTCTCTTCGCAGTGAAAGCAGATGATGGCTTCTGATGAATCAGTGTGCCACAATAACAAGAAAAACAATATTAGTTCATTTTGTGCTCTGCACTTGTTAGCTGAATTTTTCTGCCTCGATCAAACTATACAAGAAGCTGCCATTCTTGCCAGAAAATTCCAGCTCTTCCTAGTTGATATCTTAAATTTAAAAAATGGAAATAATTATATTCAGAGCCCCAAACTGAGGGCTTTGTTTAGATGTTTTTGAAGTCCAAAACTTAATCTAGTCACTACCCAGTCATTGCTATGTCTATCTATTGACATTTTTCACCTGTTAAACAGCCTCTTGGGCATCATCTTGGACCAAAATGCAATCACACCCCCATCGGTTCTGTATTACTTTATAGAATTTTATGTACATTCTCCCCTAAAAAAACAGAATCGCAGCGCTGCAAAACATTTGCAATTGATTTGGATTGTCAAATATCATAGAAATTGGAGAAAAATATATAGAGGTTTTAATCTTAATTAATTAGCTCTTAAAAGTAACTTTGGCCACTATGCTAGTATTGTTAATGTAAGAGAAGCTTCAATGGTCTTCATGTTATGGGAATTCCTATCACAGCCATTTATCTTCTTAACCAAGATTAGCACTTGTAAAACACACCAAGAACCAGGCCCTCATTAAAAGGAAGTGCATCTAATTGTTATCTAGTTGTGTATTTTAAAAGGAGAAGGATACTATCTGGCCAAGCTTTAAAAAAAAAAAAAAAAGAAAAAAAAAGAGGCAAAACCCAAGATAACCCATAGAGGATGCTGGAGGACTTGAGCTGCCTTTCAAAAAAATCAGTCTGAAATCAGCAAGAAGCGTAAAACTTAGCAAGTTTATCCAGTTTCTCTCACACAGCTGGACAATAACTGAGATTATTACCTTGTTCTACATTAAATATTGTTCATGCAGAGAAAAAACAAGAATAGACAAAGCTAAACACAGATTTTTTTTTTTTTAACTCGTAGCAGTTAGCGCTCATCATTGCTGTAATCCCAGTCGTGCACACAGGTATTCACGGGAACGCTTTCCAAATTCAGCCAGCCAGTAATTACTGAAACCGCTTTGTTTGAAATGGGTACAGCGGAGACGGCCTACGAGAAGTTAATCAGAAAATAACCACGCTGGCGCAGTTGTGCTGGGTTCTGAATTTGAGGCTGCAGCTTGAGGGGAGGGTATTGAGGAAGCTGTCTTAAAAGTAGACACAACAAGATTTAGAAGATAACGAAGCTACAGCAGCAGGGAAACTCAAAGGCCTTTTGTTTGTTTTAAGGCAGGGAAAGAAGAGAAAGGACATTGTGAAACCCCATGGAAAGCCACGGAAAGGCAAAAGGAGAACGTGAAGTGTGAGCAACCAGTCCCACAGCCAGCCGGGAACCCTGCACCTCCATCCCTGAGCCCAGCGCGACCATCCCCGTGGCAAACTGGGATTGCCCGTCCCCGAGTCCCAGTGTCAGAGAACCGAAGGATGTTCGCTCTGCAGCTGCACCCACCAGCTCTCTATAAACACTTCCACATATCTGAGCGCTTACCGCAGAGCGCGCTCCACCCGGGGCTCTCGCACAGTATCACTTTCATCCATCACGTGGGTCAGGACCAGACGGTCAAATCCAACATCTACTCCATCTCCCCTGGTCATAAAGCCTCCCCGAGAGTCACGTATCTACCGAAACAACGGAGTGGCAGCTACCAGAGCCAGGGCTGCCCCAGGGCAACGTTAAAAATAGGGAGCTCACAGAGTAAGAGCTGCCACTAACCACAGCAAAGGGAGAACCCGATACTGCTCTGGCTCCAACAACTCCCTCCGGCTCGCATTCGTGCCCGGTCTTGACTCCTGCTAATGAGGGAAGAAGAGAGAAGAGTCGCCTCCTAAACCAAGGCAGGTGCCCAGGAACAATAGGAAACAGGGCTGTACCTCTGTCCTCAACAGCTTCTTCCCCGCTTTAGGAAGGGTCTTTCCAGTGCTGGAGCCTGCAGAGGCGTTTTTCTGCTGGGCAAAAAATGTCCAAAAAAAATCTAAGAGGACTCAGGACTGTGGAGTGAGATCGTGGCTGTCCCCTGCAGCAAGCCGAGGCGAGCCCCACTGCAGAAACGGGAGAAATGGCCCAAACAAGGCAGTAACTGGTCCAGAGTCACAGCCCAAAGGAGCTGAGAATTAGGGGAACAGCCACCCCAAAGTACAGCACCCCAGGGGCCAAGGCTGGTACAGAAAGCTAACACATCAGGGGAGATCCTCGCCATGTGTTCCAGTCTGAGGGTAGGACCCTTGGGAAAAGCATCCCTGTGCAGGCACCGCAGGAATGGAGCCGCACAAAACCTGGGACACCCCAGGAACAACAGAGAGGAGGCAGCACAGGACAGACGTGGCCAGGCATCGGCAGGCAAACCCGGACGTGACACAGCGCACTGCCAGCCCCGCTGGGACACCAGGGACGGTGTGGAAAGGCAGGCATCTCCACGCTTGACTGATGGGAATCCTGCTGATAGCCACAGGGGCAGCAACAGAAGCAAGGAGGATTTTCTGGTGCCATAGCACAGAAACACCCATCTGGGCAAGTACAATGTCCCTACTCCTTTACGGATGAGCTACTGTGGCTGATACCACAGGCAACCTTTCTGCAGCACAAGTCTGGACCCAACAGCAGAAAAAATGTAAACAAGTTGGAGGAAGAGAGGCAGGAGCAAAAAAGCAAATGCAGTTGTTGGGGAAAAAAAATAAGAGTAGAGTTACAGCACGAAGGTGATGGGTAACCTAGAGATGCCAGATGCCAAAGAACAAAAATACTCCCATGGGCTTCTCCTGGAAGGGAGAACTCAGTGCCCAGAGAGACACAAGAAGCAAAGCTGCAAGCAAAGATGGGAAAGCGCATGATTATTCTAAGTGCAGTTGCCCTTGGGACACCATTTCAAACCGTACCTCAGACTCCCTGCT